AACAATGTACATGGTGGCAGAGTCCAAAGTATTTTGTTGGATCATGGTTTTTCTTTATCCCAGACTTTTTGACCATCCTGTAAACTGTAATATCCCCTGTCGTTGTTTACCACTCTTTGATTGCTATCCCCACTCTCTCTGAGAATTTGCCCTCTATTCTCCTCTTCCTTTAATCCCCCCGACACTCTTTGTGTCCTTCCTGCCTCCTTCCATCTATCTCTCTCCATCTGGGTATCAGTGAAGTATCCATCCATCAGAGAGAAGAAGAAGAAGTCCCGTGCCTCCCATCACAGCCCCTCATCTCTCTGTGTTTGCATACAAACATATTTCAGCATGCTTACATGTCAGGGTCATACGGAAGAAATCAGCATACAGTCATTTCTTATTTCCTATTATGATTCTGGATTTACGCTCGATACATATGGGGAATGAGGTATACATCCTGAGGGGGCTTTTCTTGAAATTCTATTGCAAATGAAAAAAAAACAAAACATGGAATCCGTGTTTTTTATGACATGAGAGGCATATATTTGCCGTCTATTACTATGAAAATGAGACATCATAAAGTCAGGATTGTCTCTTTGGTGGGGGTGGAATCTGATGAGATATTCTGCCATTATTCAAGGTAAAATAGAGTGAACAAATATTTACTGGCTTGAGTTTCAAATTAACAAAGTTTTGAAGAAAGTTTATTTTGATCATGTATTTTATTCCCCTTTGAAATGTTTCCATGCTTTAATGTTCAAAAAGCTCTTTATTTGTCTCATACTGCCTGTGCTGCAGCAGCTATTTTCACCCTCTGTCTGAAACCAGAACCCAGTCAGCTCTGATTGGTTAGCTGGCCGTCTGTTGGGATTGGTCAACCGCTTAGAGATGTCCCGCACCTTAGCCTATGACGTACAATGTGTTTGAGCGCTAGCGAATAGAAGCGAGTGTGTTACATAGTGATGTCACCATGAAACAATTGAGGCGCTTCAGACCCCGGCTCCACGGGAACGCATACGGCAAAACGCATCGGAGTAACGCAAACGCAACCGCAAAAAACCTTCCGCCCACACGCAATATACACCGGATTGTGTCAAGCTCCACGAGACGGCTCCGTTTACATCCAACCGCTGGAAAAGCTGCAGTACATATGCCGAGCCTGTACGTGGCGCTGTAACTTCCTCCACAAAAGCAGCAACTTCCTCCACAAAAGCAGCGAAGAAGAATGGTTGTCATGGCTGCACTTCTGTTTATTCTCCGCGGTGGGGGCCGAGGGATCCGGGCAGAGTTTTTCGCCGGTCAACGTGTGTTAAAGTTTAAATCTTCCGGACAAAATTATAAAAGTGCCGGTCAAAGGTCTTCTTTGTTATTTATTGAGCTTTAAAACAAATGAATAACGACGATATAATGATATATGATAATAAAATACACAGAGCCTGTCTCTTTTTCCTCTCTTCTCACAGCGTCAGTGTCTGTCTCATGCAGCAGCTGATCCAGTAATGATGACTCGACAGTAAAAATAAACATATTTATAACTAGTTTAGGTAGTTTGAGAGGTAATTAAAATAGCTAAGGGTGATGATCTGACTTGAAGTGTGTGTTTTGCTCCCGCTGCATCACAGCGGGAGGAGCTGCGTGTCTCCGTCCTGTCAGATTAGACTTCACTCGCGTTTATGTCCATATCGAGATAAAGATAAATAATCTGAATTCAGTGTGCAGTGTACTTTTGCGGGGGTGAGCAGCAGAGGCGGGGAGAGGCGGAGAGGTGGGAAGAGGTGGGGAGAGGTGGGGAGAGGCGGGGCTATGAAACGGATGACCGTATAGGCGACTCCACGGCCCCATTGGACCCCCCAGAGCGCTCCGTTCCCAGATCTATCCACCTTTGGACCCGTTGTCGTTTGCGGGGTCTGTTTCTACGTTTCCGTTAGCCTAGGCCTCAGGCCTCAGGCCTAGGCTCCACGGGGACGAAAACGGGTTGAATCCGCATATTTCTCATGCGTATAGCCCTTTAAGCTCGACGACGCCGTAACGGAAACGTAGAAACAGACCCTGCAAACGACAACGGGTCCAAAGGTGGATAGATCTGGGAACGGAGCGCTCTGGGGGGTCCAACGGGGCCGTGGAGTCGCCTATACGGTCATCCGTTTCTGATAATGACGACGCAATAGCCCCGCCTCTCCCCGCCTCTGCTGCTCACCCCCGCAAAAGTACACTGTACACTGAATTCAGATTATTTATCTTTATCTCGATATGGACATAAACGCGAGTGAAGTCTAATCTGACAGGACGGAGACACGCAGCTCCTCCTGCTGTGATGCAGCGGGAGCAAAACACACACTTCAAGTCAGATCATCACCCTTAGCTATTTTAATTACCTCTCAAACTACCTAAACTAGTTATAAATATGTTTATTTTTACTGTCGGGTCACTCATTACAGGATCAGCTGCTGCATGAGACAGACACTGACGCTGTCAGAAGAGAGGAAAAAGAGACAGCCTCCGTGTATTTTATGATTATATATCATTATATCGTCGTATATTTGTTTTAAAGCTCAATAAATAACAATGAAGACCTTTGACCGGCACTTTTATAATTTTGTCCGGAAGATTTAAACTTTAACACACGTTGACCGGCGAAAAACTCTGCCCGGTTCCGTCGGCCCCCACCAAGGAGAATAAACAGAAGTGCAGCCATGACAACCATTCTTCTTCGCTGCTTTTGTGGAGGAAGTTGCTGCTTTGGTGGAGGAAGTTACAGCGCCACGTACAGGTTCGTCATATGTACTGCAGCTTTTCCAGCGGTTGTATGTAAACGGAGCCGTCTCGTGGAGCTTGACACAATCCGGTGTATATTGCGTGTGGGCGGAAGGTTTTTTGCGGTTGCGTTTGCGTTACTCCGATGCGTTTTGCCGTATGGGTTCCCGTGGAGCCAGGGCCTCAGTCAGGGAGGAACTGCAACTGCAACTTTGCAGACCATTTACATGTTCAAAAACCTATATAACGCAATACAGGAAAAGCATAATAGGGCCCCTTTAACTCCTGTCTGTTTCCCCAGAAAAAATAAAAGCAGCCATCATCACCGGACCCAACATTTGTCTTCGTCTTTGGATGTCCATGATTGGCTTTATCTGTGAAGAGGATAAAAAACACAGTTGTTACAAGATTAACTCCACAGTCATCAAGTGAAAGGATCTGGCGATTTGTTCGATGATACCTTAAAGCTGAAAAGCCTTATGTGCTTTATGGCTGCGACTCCCACTGATTGTGCAGAGATCTCATTTCACACATGAACGTCTCTCTCTGCTCTCTCTGGGTGTGTGTCCATACACTCTGTAGTTAGTGCCTGAACATTATGTCTGCTGGCCCCAGGGCTGGATCACAGAGAAGAGGAGTAGGAGGGTTAAAAAGGAAATAGACGGTGGAAGAAAGTAGAGAACGTATAGCTGAAAGACAGTGAAAATGAAAAACAGGCATTTCTTGTCATGTTTGTTTGTTATTTACTTCATTACTTTACTTGGTTGCACCTCCTTACACAAAATATGTAGCACCAGTATTCAATATCTGTTAAGTGGGAATGTTTTGCCCGCCATCTATGAAAAATAAATATATCACAGGTGGAAAAAATCCCAAATTTGACCCACAACATTTGATTTACATGCTCCCACTTTGTAGCAGCAAAGCCAGAGACAGATACAGGCCTGGTACCTGCAGGCCCCTCTGGGTGCTTGGGGCTAGATTTATCACCACAGGGGCCCTCTGATGATGAGGCCGTTTAGTGGGGGTCCCTGTAGCCCTCCACTGATTAGCGCCAAACATCTTCCCTAATAACCTTAACAAGAACAACGCCTCAGGACGACATGCTGATGCACACAGGAAAGTGCACACACACACACCTCTTTAGAAATAGAGAAAAGAGCTAAGGGCTACCCATCCTCCTCTCCTTCTCCTCAAAGTCACCCCTCTCTCCTCGGCTGCAGCCCATAACTTGGCATCTCTCACTATTTCTGGGCTGAGACCCCCCCACATTGCATCTTACCTCCCACCGCCACCTCAAACACAGAACACAAATGCACCAAATTGAGTTGGTTATGGTTCAAGAGTCCCACCATCTCACATAAAGTTGCTCTCAGCGTGAACATGAAACAAGGCAATACGAATATATGAATACACGCTGGAGTGCATGAAAACTCTCGCCTCTTGGGATAAGGAGATGAGGAAGGAAATTGAGAAGAACAGAATTTATGATGCTGTGAGAAGCCGTAGGGGTTGTTTTTATAGACAGGAATCACTTTGTGGAATGTTTCCCTAAATCAGTTGTCATATTTGTGTGCTACGAACAGTGTATGTACCGATAACATGTCCATAATGCACAGCGCCTGCATACGTTACTGTAGGCAACATCCCAAATGAAAGACTTAAAGGATGGGTGAACCAATTAAGACATCAGTTGGATTAAGTATCCTGTGAATGTAAAATATAAATTCTATGCAAACTCAATATTACTTAAATTGCTTGCCATGCCTTATCATTAAGCTGTAATAGGAAATGTCTTTGTTGCCAATGAACACTTTATTATCAATCCCTTCGCCTCGAAGCTGCCTTCAAGTACTACAGGGAATATTGCAACTCTATTTCAAATGAACGTATCAAGAGACTGGTCCATATGCCTTAAATTAAACACATTCTATAAAAAACATTAAACATTTAGTTTTGGTTGTTTTAGGGGCTATTCATCTATGACAGTAGGGCTACCATTGTCTTTATTTACATATTCAACCTCTGTACATGGACACAGATATCTGGGTGCAACCATTCACGTTGTTGGCGTTCAGGTGATATTCCTCTGTAATCGAGACACTCATGATCTTACATTCTATTAAAACATAAAGTGGTGATCGCACCGTGTTTACATTTGTTTCATTAATTGTCACATTTTGAAGAATAAGACACTTTTCTGATCACGATTGGGCATTTAACGAGGCACAAGTGAAGGCGGCATGAGAGTCCCGCCGTGACGTCAGTGGAGCCGTTGAGTCAGTCAGCTGAGGGAGGAACTCAACAGAAAGTGAACCAGGAAACCGAGGCAGCTAAACGGATCCGCCGCCCCGGTGTGACGGCGGTGTTAAAGATAGGAATCACATTGTACAACAGTACAAGACTAGTATTTTGATATTTAGGTTTAAACAAAGCAGCAACATGGCTTCCCTTTTCAAGAAGAAGACCGTGGACGGTAAGTTTGCTGAGTGTGGAAGCTAGCTAACTTGTTTTTAGCCTGGCTGTACAGACTGCTGTGTTGTTCTCTTCTCATTTTAGCTTTCCCCATTTAACTTGTTCAACCTGTTCTGAGTCACACTGCTGACTGAAGCCTCAAACCAGCGTTTAAACGCCGCCAACATTTATGTAATGTTAGCTCAGTTGAACATGCTATTTTTAACATAAATGGCTCGGTTAATGCAACACTGAAGCTTTGAACAACACTGTTGTTACACACAATGGTCGTTTAGGTTAGTTTCTACTAACTAATCTAATCGTTAGCTATCTGCTAAATCTGTAGGAATAAGATGTGTGTCTGTGTTGCTACACGAAAGCTAAGGTTAAGTTATTTGTTTATCTGCACAGGAACCGGAAACAAAATACAAATCTGTGTCAAAAGGTTGAATAAACACTTTCAAATAGATTTACGCTTCTAAAACGCATTTTCAAAAACACTTTTGTATTCTATTATCGGTTTTAATGTATTTAAAATTGTCCAAGAGCTTCTCTAAATCACTTCTACTGTCTCATTCTCAGGAAGGTATTACTGTCAATTTGTGTTTGACACATAATCTGCCTTGCTGTGCTGTAAAAACAACTAAAACTGTGGCACACAGACAACATGCAATGATCTACTGTTAGGAAAATGCTGTAAAAATATGACATCATATCATGCTGTTCTTTTATAGTCTGACGTGGTCACTTTTAGATAAGATAACCCTTTACAAGTTTGGTCACTTTTAGATAAAATAATCCTTTAAAAGTTCAAACAGAAGCAGACATTTGCACTTTTACAACAGCAAGGGGGGACAGTGCAATAATAGGAAACATCAGTAAAAAAGCATGTATTTTATAAATAAGTAAATCATAAAAAGCAAAATATAATGAATCTATATTTCAAAATAGTAAAAAGCCTCTTAATCTCAATATTTCAGTATTTGTCTCCAGGCTCAATAAGCAGCCTCACAAGGTCAACATTGAAAAGAGCCCTCTTTAATCAAATGTAATGAATAAATTATTCTATTTCAGATACTGAATATATTGACTCATAGGGCTGGATTTCAGATTAAAGTTCACCTTATCAAAATAATTTGTTTGTAAAATGATCTAAAAATATCAATGTAAATTGTCTTTATCTTTAAAAACTGTGCTCTGTTGGTTGAGGCAAATCTCCTCTCAGCACCGCCTTCCCACCCCTCCCATCATTGCCATTCCAGTTTCACCAATACCGATCCTCTGCATACTGTACTTACTGTGCCTCTGTGTTACCTCCACCTCACGCCCAGCCGTTGTCTGGTCTTCTCTGCAGTCTCCATCTCGCATTCTTAATTTCTCTCATCTCTCGCTCTCTGTGCACAGTTTTTTTCCCGATGTTGCCCTGGGTAAGGTGGCTGAAGTGGTTTCTGGTTATTTGGCGAATGAAGGGGGGGTTAGATCCCACATATTTGTAGGACGATATCCCTCCCACTTTGAGACATTGGCGGCACGTCACCGTGTACGTAGACACGCTTCGTTCCCACAAGTGGTCCAACGCGCTCACGTTTCTCGACTAACTTCATCATTGCTGAACTTTTCACAAAGAATAAGCATTCTTCTGCAGTACTTTACTTCTTCCAAAAACTCATTATTCCCTTCATAACATATTGCAACTTATGAATATGAAGCTGAATTGATTGTTATAAGTTTACTTTTCACTTCCATTTATATATTTTTTTATTGACGTCCCAGGTTACTTTTAATTTAATGATTTCATTTACATTTTTAATATTGACATGTTTGTCCTGGCAGAGGGATTCCTCCTCTTTTAAGTTTCATAAAGATTGAAATAAAAAAAGTTGCAAAAATATTGTACGTCTGTTCTGCTGTAGGCGACTTAAAAAAAGCCCATCAGAATTGAAGATGTCATTTTTTTTCTTAGGTTATAGGCAGCCTATTTCTGTATTTTATTTCTGTATTATGTGTGTGTACAGCCAGAGCTGAATTTGTTTCCCTTTCTGGAGTTCCTGAAGGTGTGTGTGTGACTTGGGTTGTCCCTCTGACTCAGAAGTTCAGGATTAACGTGTGACTTCAGCGTCATACATGATCTCACATGATGTCACTTAGTGTGGGTGGGTTACAGCTGACTTAATATTGTGGTGTGAGCACTTCCACATTGAGCTGTGTCAGTATGCTATCTCAACGCGTTGCTTGTTGTGAGGTATTTCGCGTGCATGTGGGGACACAGACATGCTCATGATCAGGATTAAGCTCCCTAAATAAATGTTTCATATATCTTCCAAAGCCATGCAGCCGTCCTAGACCCACCCTTCCTACCTGCATTCCTTGAATTAAACACTTTGATGTCAAAATGAACAAAGACAATCATCTTACAATTTCATTGTTTACCACTTCCTCTACACGGCACTGAGGGTAATAAAGAAGAAATGGTAGAATGCTGTCCAGAATTAAACGGCATAGAAAAATTCATTTAATTCTCCACATTCTTGTGCTATCTGATCAGTAGGCTATAAAACTCAAAAGTGATGCCAGATTTGGAGATTTTTTGGGAGGGGGACAACAGGACATTTTTTGACTAAGATAACGTTTTTTCTGCTCGACTTTCCTGTTAAAATACAATTTCTGGGGAGTTGTTCATATTTTAAAGCGACAAAGTGAATCTGATAAATGTATTCGATGATATAAATTCAGATATTGAGTCATTTTGGTGTGGTTGGCTGTGGCTCATGGGGTAAATGTGTCTTTACTAATCAGCGGGTTCAATCCCCTGCAGTGAAGTGTCCGTTGGCAAGAAACTGAACCCCAAATTGCGGTATTGAAGTGTGTGTAGGTCTTTGGAAATATGAAATGTAATGTGTTATTATTGTTTTAGATATTGTCTGCTTTGACAAAGTCTGAGCTGACCTTGGCTTCATCTTTCTCTCTCCAAAGACGTAATCAAGGAGCAGTCTAAGGAGCTGCGCGGCACCCAGAGACAGATCACCAGGGACCGATCAGCGCTGGAGAAACAAGAGAAACAAATGGTGGGACCACACACACACACACACACACACACACACACACACACACCTTAAGTCTTGGGGACAAACATTCCTCTACAAGATATGTTCCATATATTACTACATATTGCGTCAATGCTTTATTAATAAGACCCCCTCTCTGTCCCAACACACACACATAGAGATGCATAGAATGTACTTCCTACCGTCTGTGATTAAACCTGATTGGCTAATGGCTCTAAATGGATAGACAAAAATGATCTGGTATGGTGGATTTGCTTCAGGCAAGTCACACTACTCTCTCTCATATCACATACACACTCCCGCCATTACACGACAAGGCTATATTCACAGACGAACATAACATTTCCCCTCCCTGAAAGATGAAAGCAGCCTTTCCCCTCTGTTGTATTAAGTAAATATCATACAGGCCATAATTACCTCCCCGGGGAACCACATTCTTTATTCCTCATTAATGCTTTCCGCTAATTAGTTTTTTTAAGCTTTGTTTCACATTTTGAATAAAAGATAATTTTGCTAAGAAATGGAAATGACCTATATTAGCAGTTTAGCTCAATGATAATGTCTGCTGCCCCCCCACCAAGCTTCAATTGTGAATTCAAGCACAAATGAAAATGGCACAGGACAGAAGTTATTCCCCCAAAAATGTATAATTATAAGTACAATTTTGGTCAAATTCTTGATTTTCCATGTAGTATTTTAGGGCTAACCATTTTTAGTAATTAAGGTTAATATAAGGATCTACTTTTTAGATTTTCTTTTAGTATAGAGGTACATTTAAGACCATTCAGATAACTTAAATGTACTGAAGCTGCTGTTGCAACACATTGTCCATCTGTTGTTTGGGAAAATCTTTGTTTAAACAAAAAGACTCAGTTGCTACCGGGCAAAGTCTACTAACGGCTTCACATTTGTGAGCTGCATTCCTCAATGTCTGGGAGCACTGTCTATCCATCAACCCCCCCCCCCCCCCCCCCCTCCTGCTCTGAGCAGGCAGTAAATAAGACATTATACGCTTCACATCAGTCCCTCTGCTCATCTCTATCTTCTCCCTACTAAAGCATTCATAGTGTTTCACATGACAGTGCAGTTGACATTATTATTGTCACTGTGTGCCTTATTTTACTCGCACAGGACGACAGCTTTATTCTCCATGGCATAATTATTATTTTGTTCTGCTCACACATGCATCCAAATACAGACTTAACCTAATGAACCTGTCTGTGTGTGAGAGAGAGACAGTACGTCTGTTTCTTCATCCAACATTAATAATTGATTATTGTTTCCTGAGATGCTATTAGCTCACACATGTAAAATAAACAACACATGCTGTACTGTAGCAGTGCTCGGAGGCCTGGCTAGCTCACTGTAACCTGCAGCTCCTCTCCTGTCTCCAGGGAGCCTCACACACACACTCGTGCCCACACACAGCATCCCTGTGGGCTTCAGTGTTTACCAAAGCAAAAAGCACGTATTTGCTTGCCACTTGATCCAGATGACTTTATTTACTATCTCTATATTTGCAAACACACTGGCCTCTCGGGAGCATTGTGGATACATTTCTGTTATTTGTTATCAATGCATACGGTGTGTATGTATGCACCAGTAGGCTACTTGTAAAGCTAGAGGAAAGCATGGTAGCACTGAGCAGATTATAAGGTTAGCTACAGCACTCAGAAGGGATTTACATAATTATTTCACAATTTAATTTACTCTTCAAAAGCCCTCTTGATCTTTTAGGGTTATTGTATGTCACTTAAGCTGGTGAAAGAGGTAATGGCCATCTAATGTTACTTAAAAAAATCGGGTCTGTGTGGATTCCCATTCAGAGCCCTCCATGGCTCGGACACTGGTCTCATGGGTCAGTTGCATTCGACAAGGTTACTGATTATTCCGTCTTGAGTCACCAAGATCTTCATGGGCAGCTATGCTCATTTTCAAAATGCTTACATGGTATACCAATGGTCTTAGTCCAAAAATATTAATTAGCATGAACACGTCTCTCCCAAATCCCAAAGCTAGAGTGCTACAACTCAAAATGCAAGTGTTTCTGACTTTAAAAGCAAATATCACCAATATTGATGTAACTGTTACAGGCCACGAAAATAACTTATTTGAATTCTTGATCTTGTTTTTGTTGCTCTTTTTTAATGTGGCTTGTGTCATGGTTAAGGGTATCCTATTGCTGAAACTAATGGAAAATTGCTGGTGCTCACTGACAATATGACCGTTATGAAACATGACTTTGAAGAGCAGCGTATTTGCTCCGCTATAGCTAATCTGCAGAATGGGGAGCCTGAAATCATAATAATGAAAATATAATGTTTAATGTTAGGCAGATGACTTGCGGTACTTGCCCACAACCAGGAGACGCTAGGGCTCTCAGTGGAGCCTCAATGGATTTGTTCCAGAAATTACAATATTGTTGAATTAGAATTTGGAGTTTCTCTTTCTGTCAAACAATACCACTCTGTCATATTAAACATGGACTCCATTGTTAGAATTTCTTACTATACATAGTTTGTGCATACTCACACTAATTTGCTAAATGTATTTAATATGCCTGCACAATTAATAATAATTAATTATCAAAATGTTATGGATTGTTCCATAATGAAATCGCAGGAAGCACAACATTTGGGAAAGGCTAAATATGTGCTGAAATACCATTTTGAGTCACACCATAATATTAAAAAAAGGATAATGAGAATTACGATTCAAAAATGATTTATCCCTCCATTACCGTGAGTCAATTCGCAATTGCAATATCAGTTATAATAATTGCATTTAATAACTGTTTTCCAAATTGTACAGCCCTAGTGCCTACTGACATTGTACATACTAACATTGGCCCTCTATTCTCCTGTTCCCCCCTTTAAGGAGGCTGAAATCAGGAAAATGGCAAAGAGTGGAAACAAGGAGGCGTGTAAGATCCTGGCCAAGCAGCTGGTGCAGCTGAGGAAGCAGAAGAACCGCACGTACGCCGTCAGCTCCAAGGTCACCTCCATGTCCACGCAGACCAAGGTCATGAACTCACAAATGAAGATGGCCGGCGCCATGGCCTCCACAGCCAAGGTACGACCCTGTCCTCCAATCCAGCTTGTCTTAGGTTAAAAATATAAAACACTTTAACGGTCTTTGAGACTTAACGGTAAAATGCACTTTTTGATGTCTTTTATACATAAATATGTGTCCCCGGCCTGTCAGGGAACTCACGCAGTGTCAGAAAATAAAACCCTCTCTCTTTTCCTCCGTACCCAAATCTCTAAAAACGGGGGTACAACGGAGCTGATCCAGATTTGCGTCCGATATGACGTAATATCGGAAAAGTGGACCCACGGCACTATCAGAAAAGTTGCTATTAGAAACAATACACGACGGGTTTTGGACGTAATATGGTCTTTGTTTACATTAGCAAGCATCGCTAACACACATAGCTAACCTGTACTGGAGAGAGCATGTGTAAAAAAGCAGGAAATAAAAAAAGGAATTCGCCTTGTAGTAAACCCGCAAGAGAAAAAGCATTTGAGCTCCATCCTGTTTCAGAAATAATCCTTGATGTGGTTTGGAACATGATATGGCATTTAATCACGGCAGCATTTAGCTGTATCTCGTAGAATTCTGAGCAGGCGCAAGCTCCCCCTCCTCTTTTATTTATTTTCAAGCTAAGGACCCCGATCATCAGTCCTCTAACAGGGCTGAAATAGAGGGATATGAGGGATGTCTAAAATGCATGATCTGTTTGGTATTTTGAGCAAAACACATCATAGACATGTTTTCTATATATTTGTATATATCTGAGACCCATAATATATGCCTAAAATTAGCATGATAGGAGACCTTTAAGATATCACATCAAACTCAGGAAAGTTAACAGTGTTTTTGTTTTGCATATGAACCAGTTTCAGTGTTTAATATTCAAGTGTTTAAAGTATTAATGCGGGATCTGTTCATGTTCAGAGTCTGCCTGCTAATGAGGTGTGAAAGGTGGTAATCGGCCTAAAGCTGAACAGAGTCAGACTGCGCAAACATACACAGGTCAAACATAATTAGGCTTCAGATAAATGGAGTGTGATGTAGTGTGTCGCGTTTTCAGAAGAAGAGAGAAAAAGTGTTAATTGTTGTATGTCAGGCATACACAAAGTTTGTTTATACACAGATTTGTGCAGCACTTCCTCCTCACACAGCTCTGGGTGAGCATGTTTTGAAGCAGTGGACACAGGGATTAGTGAACGTGTTGTTTCAGGTTCAGCTGTGAACATGTGTGCTGATCTTTCACAGGAAGGAAGGAGATGCATAATTTAGAGTCAGCCTGTGTTTTGTTTTTCAGTGTCCTATGTTATTCTAACTTGCTAATAATGAATGCAGAGCAAGTCTTCCAAAGGCCATTTTCAACCAAACTAATTGGGAAGCACTGATTTGTAAAAAGAGCTGAAATCATCTTAAATCCACTCCTTGGGAAAATGCCTTCTCTGTAATATGGAAGGCCATTTACCGTGATTATTTTTGTAAGAGTTAACGTTTCTTTATGTGAAGACCATGTACATTTCTATTAAATTGTAGCTGTATTTAAAGAAATGTGCACATATTTGACCACCTTTCTACTTTACATTAGGTTACTACTAGGGATGGGAATTTGAAAGCAAATGTATATTCGAATATTCGACCCCCAAAAAAACGGTTAACCGATTAACCGAAATGTACATATCCAATAAAAAAAATCGAAACAATTTTTTACAAAAAAAAAGAAAACATTTTTAATTTTGAAAAATAAATAAATACATGTTCAAATAAGTATAGAAACCAAGTCGAATTTGTCAAATGTATTGAACTGGTGATCACAGTTTGAACAGTTGACAGCTATAGGCCTACAGCTTTCATGCCTAAAACATAACTTGGTTTTTAAATGAAAGAGGGATCATACACGAACAACATAACGGGTTAGGGTAACGTAACCCTATCACAACAGAGATCAACAACCTATAACAGGGCCTATGCACAGAATGCAGCTATTCAATACTCATTCTTGTTTAAGAATATGAGCATGTCTACTCAAGGGAGAGGCGGGTGCGGAGGCGATTCACAATCAGGCCAGCTGTAGAGAAGACCCTCTCAGCTGGAATTTGGGCATAAGATGAGGTTTGAGTCTGCGTGATCTGCGTGTAGGGAGGGGCAGCAGCCATATCATTAGCTAGAACTAGCTAGATCTGATGGATTTGGACATAAACGCGAGTGAAGTATAACCGGACGCGAGAGAGAGAGAGAGAGAGAGAGATCAGCACCTGCAGCTCTGCCCGCTGTGAGGGACCGGTGAGCGGAGCAAAACACACCTTTAGACCTAACACATTTAGCTATGGCACGGTCGTATACATTGAATTATTCCATTTGATAATATGTAATCAACTTAGGCACCCCTCCCAAAAAAAAAACTAACTCATATTCGAATACCTGAATAATTTTGAATATTCGATTAAGCGTTCCCATCCCTAGTTACTTCTGTTTTGTTTCTTTACTCAAAAGCTTCTCCTCCAAGATGTATTATTTAACTTTCTTTCTCATCATATGTGCAGACAATGCAAGCAGTGAACAAGAAGATGGATCCACAGAAGACCCTGAAGACCATGCAAGACTTCCAGAAGGAGAACATGAAGATGGACATGACTGAAGACATGAGTAAGAACTCGCACACAAACACAAAGAGCTCTGGTATTTACAGGCTTACCAAAACCAGATTGTCTGGATGTATGTGAACGCTGCACAGAGCGACGCGTGAGGGCAAGAGAAATATGAAGTATGACGGTACATAGAGAGGGTTTTCTGTTTCATCCCCACATAGTATATTACCTGTTGGAGTTTAAGCTATCTTACTCTAAAGTCCAAACTGTGACTGAAAAATCTATGTTTTTGATTAAATGAACCTTTTTTGTCTCTTTCTCTCCAGTCAACGACACTTTGGACGAGATCTTTGATGATTCTGGGGATGAAGAGGAGTCTCAGGATATTGTCAACCAGGTTCTGGACGAGATCGGCATCGAGATCTCAGGAAAGGTAAGACATTCATAATGAGAGAACATTTGAGAATATACCACTGGACTTTTATAATACAAATGTAAAAAGATAATGTGGTGAATAAAAACAAACTGTCAAAAATGGTAAAAGAAGGGAAAGAAAAGATAAAGGCAATAAAGAGACAGATGAAAGTCTCTCTGATTGAAGTTTTTTTTAAGAAGGCGATTCAGAGATCACTGACTCAACCAACCCGTTTTCTCAAAGTGCAGACTAGTATGTACAGCACTACGTCAGAGATGAAATACAAATATTATGAAACATACGGTGAGCTTTGTGAAGAGGCTTAAACGGAAGTGATTTGAATATGTCTCAGTCTGGAGTCCATTTGTGTACAATGGTCTCTGTGCCTTTGACATATGCAACATACCTTAATGTTCCTTCTGTTTGGAAACACTTTAGCTCCCTTTTTATTTCTTTTTAATCTAAGTTTTATCACTATTCAGGAATACATGAGAAAATGTAAAGGCTCTTTCCACATGTAAAGGGTCTCCCGGCAGAATGAAGTGAACATTAAGTGTTCCACATGGCTTTTACCCGACTGTGCAAATGTTTCCCAGCTGCCACTTGGTGGGGCTCGCCTCCAGCTCTGATGACCCGCAGTCTGCAGTGTGTGTGTGTTACTGCTGCACAGCTGCTGTCTGGCTCCCCCTGGGGGTCTCCATGAGTTATTAACTCTCATAACACAATGTACACACCCACACATTGTCCCATAAACAAGCCCACAGCTGGAGAGAACAAACAGGCAGAATTCATAAAAACATGCAAAAATGTGTTTGAATTGAAATTGAAAGGGGGGGGGGTTTATAATTTCCTGCTCCATCCCAATAAAGGTTGAGCAGAGAATAATCTGAATGCTCTCGTATTGCTCACTTCTTAGAAAGCAAAACCATAAAACACAAACCCTTGGGCTGAAAGGAACACTCATAAACTCTGGTAGTTTGGGAGAATATCATATAATAAGAAAATAAGCAGCCATGTGTGTTATTGTGTTTTGTCATATTCACAGGAATGCAATTGTATTGTTTGGTTTTAGTACGACAATTACATGTGCAGAAAAATGGCTTACATTTTTCAGCAAATACAAATCTTATTTGATGATTTGAGATCCATGTAATTGCACGATTGTTGTAACACTCGTATTAGCCCTTATTAATCATAACAAGACTCGACCATTCACCAACAAATCTGGGAAGAAATGAAAGAAGAAGAGATTAAAGAACTTGAAGTAGGTTTTGTTTCCTCTTTAAACTGTACTTCATGCAAATGAATGCAGCATCAAACAATGCTTGTGTAACTGCCGCCCACTTGCGTTATAACTGAGGTGGGCTATAATTATTTAAAGGGACATCGCAAAGTAATCCTGCAGTATGAATTGTTACGTCGAGTTCATAGTTTTCCATTATAATTGAGAATAATTGTGATCAAATCTGAGGCGGTCTTTTACATTTGGCTCTGAAGTGGCATTCGGCACACAGCTGTCAACAGCAGCCAATCCTCCAGCCTTGTGTGTTATCAAGTTTGCCTGCTAATGGGCTTTTTTCTCTCCAGATGGTGAGAGCTCCAGCTGCAGGAAAGAGCCTCCCGAGCGCCGCCTCCTCCAAACAGGCCACTATCTCCGACGACGAGATCGAGAGACAGCTCCGAGCTCTGGGAGTGGACTAATCGTCTTCTCTGTGTTAATGTTCGCACTATAGGCCTGTGCCACATTAATACTGAGTGATACGGACTCTTTTAGACACATTGGATTTGTCATTGTTGAAATGCTACAGGTGTAAGAAAGGGTGCTCACCAACACACATTTTAAAGGGACAGTTCTCCACTCAAATACATTTTTTAAATCTTAACTGAAGTGCTTTATCAATTTAGATTTGATTGTTATCGGCCGTAGAAATGTCTGCCTTCTTTCGAGTAAAACAGAGCTAAATGTGGCTTGTGAAAGGTAACCCACAGACCTTTTTGTGAACAGTTTACGTAGGAACTACTTCCTTTATACTGTATCGCCAAGCCAAGGAACATTGTGTTCTCCTCGGCTGATAACATGAGCTACCTCAGGTTAGCCTAACAGACTAGATTGATAAATAAATAGCACTAAAGGCAAGAGAAAAACATGTATTTTAAATTATGAACTGTCCCTTTAAGACATTCAAAGACAAACATGTATATTATTAACCTACACATATTCACACTTTCTACGGCAGGTCGCCTTAAGGCACAACATCTGATCTATTTATGCGAAAATAATATTTATTATGACACTGGAAGGTGTACCAATAATACATGTATGACTTAAAGAGCTTTCATCCACCCACGCTGTTTACCTCCCATCTCTGTCTTTAAAAGGGCTACAGTGTCTGAGACCGTGGAACTGGCTCGACCCATCTGCTGTTTTGGTCTTTGGTCATATTATCAGCTTTTATGCGGCTGGAGATGAATGCAAGTTTTAATGAGTAATACCTGGTAATTAAAAAAAAATAGCTTACGGGTTGTCGGTAACCAGATGGAACTTATATTGTTCCTTTTTAAAGCATTTAAACGATTCCCTTCCTCTGAGGCAGACTATCCTCCTCTCCATGTTTGTCATTGTTATGTGGGTGATATATCCTGGGGGTGTCAGAAATGAGACACGGTTACTTTACCACGCAGGAGAAAAAGCGACGACCGGTCACTGTCTCCATACAAATGTAGCAACTAGCTTATTAACCATCATGTTTTAAAACCCTTAGGTACGCTACTGTAGTTACTGGAGATGATGTAACTCGTATGCATGTCAAATGTATAACAGATTAGGGTAAGGCCTTCACTTTACTTCAACATAATGCATGAGGCGGTGAGATGGGTTAATCCGAGGGCGAGCATTTAATTAGCACCACTGAAGAAGAAATGCTGTAGAGATTGTGTGTGAAAACGTAATCAAACACAATATAGGACTAATGGGAGACTGGCTTATTGAGTTTTTTTTAATTGGTTGATGCTTTTGGGTAATCATATTAGTTTTTCTTTTGTAATTCTTGGTTGATCTGGTTGTGTATCTTATAATGGACATGGGGTTTAAACAGTGATTGTTGGACGCTCTGGTCCGCAGTCGCTCTTCTCTTTCAGCTGCTGTGCAGTTACTCATATGTTATTTCTAGCTGTCTCGCTCACACACTACAGCAACAAAATGATGGAAGTGTTTGCTCAAATTAAACTGTGATCCAGGAGATGTTTTCTCTTCTGGCCCTACTCTAAAACAAATAAAGTTGGCCAGCTTCATGAGGGTGGCACGGACATCAGGTTTTTGTCTTTCTCATTCTCTGGCCTCTTTGTTCCTCTTTGCCAAAACAAATTCTAAATAGTTTTCATTCCTGCATGCATCTGACATGTACAAATCACAATTCATCTTGTATATCATACTTTCCTCTAACTTTTTAACAGTCCATTGTGAGCGGAAACAAAGTCTTAGCAGATTTCGACAATGTTTCAGTGCAGTTCCATGCTTAGGAAATGTCCACACTTTTTGAACAAATGTGTGTATGTATACTCTTCTGAATTTGTTTTAGTCATTGTAAAGTGACTCTGTAAAGGGTGTATGGCTTTTATAATGAATAAAGTTTCTTCAGGTACAGGTTGGAGAGCATTTCTTTTTCAGATCTTTTTCTTCCAGTCCACTGGTTCCAATTCATTTCCACATGAATGAAACAATCTTGAATCTTGCTCAAGTTAAAGCGAGCAGCAATCTGCTTATAGAATAGAATTTATATTTATTGTGCACCAATATTAAAGGAATATTAACTTCTTAAACTATTTTCAGTTGCCTGAGGGACTCTATAGTGTCAGTCTCCCAGAGCTCAATCTGCTGATCAGAGGATGGGATACTGCTTCTTGGCATTACTGTAAAAAGTGAACTCAGGGGCTTTTGGGGTTTGCCAACTATTTTGCTTGCCAATGACACAAAGAAAGTAAAATTGCTTTAAAATGTGATTACTGACACAGATGGAAGTTCCCCAAGATGATTAAGTTGATTTGATTCTCGGAAATACTCTACATACATGTAGTAAATAATACATGTAGTAAATAAATCAAAAGATGGATCCAAATGTCTGAAAGAAAAAGCAGTCACTGAAACGGCATTAAAAGGGGCCTTATTTTGTATTCTTGGTCTTTCCCTTTCCTGTAGTGTGTTCAATAAGATTTCGTGTAAATGTTCTGCAAAGGTTAAAATCCCAAAGTTCTCTCTGTAAAGTAAAGGCACAATAGACACACATACAAATGAGCGCAATAGGGCCCCTTTAACTGTGGTTTAAAGTGTCATTTGTAGTAAATCAGACATTGCAATACAAGCATTGTGCTTTTATGGATGCGTATTGTTTCAGTAATATTGCTACAGATATATGCAAAAAAATAAAATAAGTGGAAAGACCACAATGTTCTCTGAATATATAAAAAGTGAAGCATCAAACTTAAAAATGAGGTGAAGTTTGAAAGCAGTAGCGTTGACGCATCATTCAGAGCAGCACTTAGAAGCCCATAGCTTTATCCTATTCAGCACATTGTGCCTATAACTTTCAGCGCGCAGCCTCAGAAATGTGTCGATGACCCTGCTGCATTTATTTCCCCTGACAGCACTCCAGAGAGACCGCTGTAAATGAATCACAGCAGAAACGGCTTGTTCCTGAATTAAGATGTCTTCCAGCTTTATTTATGAATCCCCAGTGACTCACCCGTAGAGTGTTTGGGTTCATGCTGTACACATAACCTCACTCTCCCACCTCATGTATTACACAGGGTCTTATAATGACATTAGTAACAAATGAGCGATGGTACATGAAGCTCTGCGTGAAAGACGGTTCTCCTTTATTGTCAAAAATGCATTAAACTGATTTACGCTTTAGAGCCTGGGAAGTGAAAGACACTAGCTCAATATGTGTGTAAGTATTATGTGCTAATCAACTCTCTTTGGCATATTTACTCAATATTTTTAATCAAGTGGAATGATGGCAATACATTTTTTACATAGCTTATTTCTTCTGCACTGTAATAACGTGGGATACTAATGTACATCTCTTCCCTTCGCAAATGAATGGCACCTGATGTAACTGAACATAAAATCCTAGATTTGGTCTGAGAAATAAGTTGTTTCTTCACTTTATTTAGACGTTTTACATCCGTCTTCCCAACCAGGTCAACGTCTTGACTGGCTGATGTTCTTCTTTGTATGACACTTTGTCAAGGCAGCAACAACAAAAGCAGAACATCAACAAACTGAAGTAAATCTATCTTTTAGGGAAACAGCAGATCCGTGTGGTGACAACATGTCAGAAAGTTTCACATACTCCTGACGTCAAACCATAAATCAAAGAGGTTGTGCTCAGCAAAGTAGCTCAACCTAATAAATGATCAAATAAATAGGTTATTGTGACATTTTAAATATATAACTTTTTTGGCAACAGCTATATTCATTTAAATAAAACACATGATTTTAATTTAACAGATAATCTAAATAAACCAACAAACAAATACAACTAGAATACATCTAAATGAACAACATTTCATCAACAATAAAGACATGTTGTCTTGAAAAGGGAGAATAAAAGTTAGGCTTATGTCTGTCTTTAGAATGGCACAGAACTGAGGGCTCACCTGTATGGGATTTTTTTAGGAGAATATAGTCTTTTAAATACTGTAAATACACATTTCTTTTCAAGTAAAAAACAAACCAAAGATTCTGCAGCATATTTGCAAAAAGGGATGTCTCTTTAAATTAAACACTTTCTGCTTTGGAGTCATCTAACAAAGTGACAATGACTCATGCTTTTATAGCTAAGGTGTTTTTCAGTTGTTTTCGTATATGGCTGACCTTCACTGGATATAAATTATCATTTGAATTTTAAATCAATAGAATAGTTTCAAGGGTATCAGCAGCTGCTTGTTGCAGAGTGACGGCAGTTTTAGTTGTTCTTTCTGATTTCTTGTTGAGTAAAACTTTCCCAACTTTCAAGGTTTTTCTGTCACACATTTGATTTTAAAGGAGCACATTTTCACCAGCATGTGAAGTCATGAAGGAGCCTCCATCGAACTAAAGGTGAACCCTGAACTACGTCATGGGTCTTTGTGATTTGCTCATCTGTGTAATGCAGTGTGGGCTGAGTTTGGTCAAACAGGAGCTGAGGTTCAGGCTGGTTTTGACCCGTTTTTCTCTTTGTCGTCTGTTGCAGAACCAGACTCTGACCACCTCCTTCTCCAGATGGAGGCCTTTTGCTATCCGCACTATTTCCTGGGAAGATGGCTTATTTTTTTCCAAAAAGCTGCGTTCCAGGGCCTCCTTAGCTCCCAGACTGCAAGGTAAAGAGAAGAGAAAACTGTATAAAACGGAAACATCATTGTATGGTTTGCATTGTTATATGCGTATAAGAGGTCATACCTGATAGTGGTTCTCCTTTTCCTCTTCCGCTCGTTCATTCCTAATTTATCACTGTACAAGGCTGCAGAAAGGAAAAATAATACCTTATTACTGTGGAGAAGAGAAACTGCTCACAGCTCACTGATGTATGCGTCATGCGATAAGGGGGTATCAAATGACTCATAAGTGCATTTACTACTTATATTGACACAATACAGGTAAAGGTTACGTTAAAATAAATGCTCTAAACAGGGGTTTCTTGAGTGGAGTGGATATGTGACTCACCGCCGGCCAGCTCTGCTTCATCCAGCCATTTGGACAGAATGGCCTTGAGTTTGCAAGCGTTCTTGAAGCTCAGCTGCAGATTCTCAAAGCGGCAGATTGTAGTCTGACTGAACTCTGAGCCGTGCACTGCAGCAAGAGCCTCTCCTACATTAGTCTGCGTGTAGCCTGGAGGTCAAAATGAAATAGAAATAATGTATATAATACTAAGGAGAAGAGAAGCTGCAATCCCATCACATAACAGAAACATTTCTGGAAACGTCTTTCATTCAGAATCAGAATCAGAAACAGGTTTATTACCAGGTAGGTTGACATGTACGATGAATTTGACTTGGTGTCGTGGTGCACACATAAAAGTAAAATTGAAATTAAAAATACATTGTGTGCATTAATGTAATGCATAGTCTATGATGTGTATGGTGGCCCTGAAGTGCAAGTCAAAAGAACATTTCACAAAACACTTCAACATTTCATAAAACACAACGACATTTCAAAAAACGCTACAGCATTTCAGAAAACGCTTCAGCTTTTCACAAAACGCCGCAGCATTTCACAAAACGCTGCAGCTTTTCACAAAACGCTACAGCATTTCACAAAACGCCGCAGCATTTCACAAAACGCTTCAGCATTTCAGAAAACACAACGACATTTCAAAAAACGCTACAGCATTTCAGAAAACGCTTCAGCTTTTCACAAAACGCTACAGCATTTCACAAAACACTTCAACATTTCAACTTTTACGGAAAGGGTATTCCTTTAGGGAGAACACTTCTTGTTTATGATTGGACATAGCCAGCCAGAGAAGCACTGCTGTGATTGGTTGTTTTTGCTGCGAGTCAAGAAATGACGCTTCTTGATTGGTCAGCACCCGACAGCGCCACCTATTTCCTGTTTGGTACTATTCAGCTGTTTCTGCACACATTTTAAACTTTGACAAGTGTGCAGACAAGACGGCAGGCGAAAAACCTTTTAAAATGCGTGTTTTCTGAATGGAGATCGGATCGATCAGGCTAAACCAACCTGTAGCTGCTCCGTCCAAACTCACAACAACGTCATACAGACAGAAATAAAGCAGTGACTGTATTCGCCATGACACAGACAGTCTGTGGTTTGTACATGTTTAACTTTTGTCCAGTTTCTGAACAGAGCTCTGTGTGCTAACAGCTAACGGCTGATGTTTTGGGACATGTTGATGTGGTGATGGGTTGACAGCATGTCGAGGATAACATCATGTATTTTCCGTTGTTAAAATATTCCCTTAAGATTTCCATCTCTTCTTCCATTCTTTCCAACTCAGTTTAAAATTTGTGCAGAAACAGCTGAATAGTACCAAACAGGAAATACGTGGCGCTGTCGGGTGCTGACCAATCACGAAGCGTCATTTATTGACTGGCAGCAAAAACAACCAATCACAGCAGTGCTTCTCTGGCAGGCTCTGTCCAATCACAAACAAGAAGTGTTACGGAATACCCTTTCTGTAAAAGCTGAAATGCTTTAGCGTTTTGTGAAATGCTGTAGTGTTTTCTGAAATGCTGTAGCATTTTGTGAAATGTTGAAGTGTTTTGTGAAATGTTGAAGTGTTTTGTGAAATGTTGAAGTGTTTTGTGAAATGCTGTAGTGTTTTCTGAAATGCTGTGGTGTTTTCTGAAATGTTGAAGCGTTTTGTGAAATGCTGTGGTGTTTTCTGAAATGTTGAAGCGTTTTGTGAAATGTTGAAGTGTTTTGTGAAATGCTGTAGTGTTTTCTGAAATGCTGTAGTGTTTTCTGAAATGCTGTGGTGTTTTCTGAAATGTTGAAGTGTTTTGTGAAATGCTGTAGTGTTTTCTGAAATGCTGTAATGTTTTCTGAAATGTTGAAGTGTTTTGTGAAATGCTGTAGTGTTTTCTGAAATGCTGTAGTGTTTTCTGAAATGCTGTAGTGTTTTCTGAAATGCTGTGGTGTTTTCTGAAATGTTGAAGTGTTTTGTGAAATGCTGTAGTGTTTTCTGAAATGCTGTGGTGTTTTCTGAAATGTTGAAGTGTTTTGTGAAATGCTGTAGTGTTTTGTGAAATGCTGTAGTGTTTTCTGAAATGCTGTAGTGTTTTCTGAAATGTTGAAGTGTTTTGTGAAATGCTGTAGTGTTTTGTGAAATGCTGTAGTGTTTTCTGAAATGTTGAAGTGTTTTCTGAAATGCTGTAGTGTTTTCTGAAATGCTGTAGTGTTTTCTTAGTGTTTTCTGAAATGCTGTAGTGTTTTCTGAAATGCTGTAGTGTTTTGTGAAATGTTGAAGTGTTTTGTGAAATGTTGTTTTGACTTGCACTTCAGGGCCACCGTAGATGTGGCTGAGGTAAAGTGTCAGTGGGGGTCCCGGGCCTTGTTGATGATTCGTACAGTTTGAAAGTATTTTTTTTTTACATCTAGTGATAAGACTAACCGAGTTTGATCCTGCGTATTTTGAAGTCATTGGCAAACATCTCCAGCTCTCTTATCTGCGGGGAGTCCATGGGAGGGACATCTTCTGGGTCCCGCATGCTTTTTCTATGGTCAGTTTTCATGTCGCAAATACTCAGGACCCCAGGGGCCTCATCAGTGGTGAGGAGGGCCGGGGGCAGTGTGGAGAAACTATGGCTTAATGCACAGGAACCACTGCCTAGACCATGATCCGGAAACTTGTACAAGCAAGGAGTGAGAGACCCTGGAGAAAGAGAAAGACAGCTTGAGAAGGGCACATTATTGATACAGTAGGAGTCTCAAGGGAGACCCTCAGACTGTCAGAAGGGGGGTGTGAGCACCATGGACACTTTACCCACATGTTCGCTGACAGGCTTTACTTCCACAGCATGAAAAGGTTTTGACATGCGTGCCCCTTTGAGACACTTTGAACCTCTATGAATACAAAACGGCTGGAAGAACAGGCGTATATTTTTGTATTATTGTCATATTTTTGCTATGATAACCATTATATAATTGTATTTTCTATGAAGTGTGTCAATTTCCTTTCACTGCCCATTGAGATTTGTCACCAATTTATGTTTAGCCTTATGTAACACACACCTGAGCCAGCTCCATTCACTAATAAAGTGATGGTTATTTAATAATCACACCATTTTAAAGTGTTTTGAGGAATAAATATTCTTTCGCCTATCCCTTTACTTGATATATTTCAGATTTTCACCTCTGCAGTTTACCTTAATTTAACAAGCTCATTCACATTTCTTGTATATATGAATATTCAAATCCTTGGCATCAGTGCTGCCACACAAAGTTGAGTTAACTTTCTGGTTTAAAGGGTATCAATTCAGTTGTCTCCATTCATTTTGTTGTTGTTGTACAACACTTCAAAGGCTTCTACCTCGATATTCAAGAGTTTGTACTACAGTACTCATAAGTGGCTGTTGATGTGAAATCTAGTGGAGCTGCTGGCTATTGCTGCCAAGAGCTTCTTCTTTCTGTCAGCATTGAAGACAGATGACTGCCAGATTAGCAGATGGGTGGATGACTAATTGTTGTTTGGAACATGCTGCTTTTCATTGCCTCAACTCTCAGCACAGCTGCAGTGGAAGAAAAACAACTGCATTTAAAAATTGTACTTCATCGTACTTTAAGGACTGACAATAGGCAAAACCTGATTTGTGATGGTAAGTCTGACAGTAGCCAAATGCTGGTTTCAGTCCACTCTACTATCCTAGGAATATTGCTCTTTTGATTGTATCAGAGATGCTGAAACGATATCTGCTGTTAAATGAGCAACACTCCCCTCTTGTGTCAGTGGGATTGTAATGCAGTGGTAACTATATCACATAACGACTTAACATTGTACTTCATTTACAGATCTAGTGATAGGAAAAGAGCCTAACACACCTGCCTCATTTCCTTCATGACATGTTTTTCAACTTTATAAAGGATGTAGTTTGATGAGGCTGTGCAATCCTACATCTCCTTCTCAGCTTGAGTATGTAACACATGGTAATATATTTGTTTCTATAGTACACTGGAATAGAATTGCCAAGAAAGCTTTGTCTGAAACTCTGACATAGCTAAATATCGCCTACCATCAGCAGTGTTTGAAACACCTTAGGACTCTCCCTGGAGGAATACAGTGGCAGAAATACTGAATGCAGAAAAACCCCTCACACCCCCCGCCTGGCCAGCTGCACAAGTTAGGATTTCCAAAAGTTGCAAAAATAATGCACCATTACGTCTTGGAGGTAATAAACATCTGCCTATAGTTTTCCAAACTGCCCACACTCTTTACCCCTGAGAAAGACAACAGTCATTTTGGGAGCTGGATGATCCAGGGCGAGGCATCTTGTTCTCCTCACCATGTTGGAAAAAGAGAGAAGAGTTTGCCTCGTTCTCGCCTGCCTTCACTGCTCCCTGGAGAGTGCACACAGCTCTGCTGCACTGCACACATCAGTTTTTTGTGTGTGGTGGAGACAGACTGGACAACAAGCCCCTTTGAAATCACATGTGGACTCAGTACCTCACAGGCTTTTTTGCACATGGATCCCAGCAAAGATAGAGAGCAGACAAACTGAAAGACAGACTTACTTCATACTGCTGTGTTCATATAATGACTGAACTTCATACTACCCTTAAATGTTGGACAACGTTTTAGATGCCAATTCACACGTCCAGCCGATAGAGAGTTACGATAGCATTTGTTAGGATTCATTTTATGGCCACCTGATAACTGTAAGTGATATTGCCTTTCATTACCTCCACCAAAGGGGTGGTATTATTTATGGCTGAGTGTGTCTGTTCAACATCAGGGCTACATAAATTCTACTGGCCAGATGTTCATTAAACTTGGTGGAAAGGTGTCAAATTACGACCAAGGGTAGAGCCAATAAAATACTGTAGCAGGTCAGAATTATGGTGACGGAAACACATATTGTATTTCACTTACATGCATGGGGTTTAGGAAAAAAACTGAAAAACTAGTACCAGACAGGGAAATTCACAATAACTCTCACTAAAGTTGGACCTACAACTTTGAAGGAGATATAGACGTGTTGTTTAAACAGTCTGCGCGATTAAAAACAACATATTGGAAGTCGGAAGAATAGCTTCCCAACTGGGGACTATCCGAGGAGCACAATTATGTGCCATTGGCCCTTGACGGAGATGAGCGCTCTCCAAGTGCCAATACTCAACTCTTTAGCTGAGTCATGCCAGTGTGTGCCATTGTATGCTGGTCAGGAAGCCTACAGTGGGGTAATCATTTGCCTGCTGTGGCTGGAACAAGGTTGATGAGGTAAAAGAGGTTAAATATCTCCATAAAGCAGAAGAACTGCCAGTGTGTATAACTCCCTTTGGATTCACAGAGACACCTTTCACATTACACTAAGTCATTTGATCCATTGTTAATATAAAAAATAGATTAGTGCAGCTTTAGAAATGAAAAATTAAAGGGCCAAATTTCTCCTGTGACCTCGTGTCATCCAGTTCACATAATTACAGAGTTTTGTTAAATGCTATTAACTCTGTCCCTGGCCTTTCCTCTCAAACATCCCTCTGCTGTGTGCTGTTGTTGAGCACTTAGAGCAAGTTTCATTTTGTGAGGACCTCCTGAGGTAATAAATGTGGCCAGCCGTTTAATTTAAATCTTGATGTATTTCAGCACCACCTGGGACACTGCGGACAAAACCATTTTATTGGGCCATTAATGGTAGAAGGTTGATGTCTCCGGGTCTGCACTCAAGTGATTAAAACCCTATCAATGTTGTCTGTTAAAACAGAAGCTGCAATATCATTTCCTATAAGTTGTTTGTTTAGCGTCTGCAGGGTTACATTTTAGGTCTCATCCTTACTGGTCATTTTTTCTCCCACCCACTTATTATTTGTATCTACTATGTTTATTTCTGAAAGCAACTGTTATAATTAAAAAAGGGAACAGAAATCTTTACAGATCTAAATGCTAAATGTGAAAAGCTTTATCTGGCAGTTATAAAAAGTAATAATTTGCCACCAGAATCTTGTTGCAAGAAAAACATGTTTAAAAAAACAAAACAGATACTATCCCCCATGACAGTTTCTTACATAACAACTTCTAAATAATATTTCTGCTCTTTCTGCAGGATTGAGAGGAAGCGACAAGTTGACATTGACGGTTATGTTTAACAAGGGCGCTAAGGAGCTCAAACATTAGGGGAAGTAATCATCTCTGAAATTGATTTTTAACTGGTAACACATTTTTAAATGAAATGGGAATAAACTAATTGTCTGCTCAATTTACCTGATTTAGCTCCAGGCCAGGAATTGTTTGTATTGTGTGTGTGTGTGTGTGTGTGTGTGTGTGTGTGTGTGTGTGTGTGTGTGTGTGTGTGTGTGTGTGTGTGTGTGTGTGTGTGTGTGTGTGTGTGTGTGTGTGTGTGTGTGTGCGTGTGCGCGTGTGCGTGTGCGTATGTGCGTGTGTGTGTGTGTGTGTGTGATTATTACCTTGCAATGGGTTCCCACTGCCCACCATGTTGGGGTGAGGGACACCACATGTCTGCAGGATGCGAGACTGAGAAATACTGGCAGAGAGCATCTCCTGAGCTACAGAGAGAGGGGAGGGGGGGGGGGGCATTAATATTGTCTGCACTATAATCATTTTTCAACCACCCTCAGTACTTGCTTGTCAGCAGCAGCATTTGATTACATTAATGACATGCTTAATTAACCATCAGTGTTCCTGATGATTAATCGTTTGTTGGTTGACCAACAGTTTAATTAACAGCCCTGCAATAGTTATTACAAATTCCATCACCACCACTCACCTGCCATCATGCCATACTGCTGGTTGCTGTAGTGGCAAGGGGTGACTGGGTAATGTAGTCCCGGGGGGGAGTTGCCCAGTGCGTTGCTGAGGGAGGAGGTGGACAGGTGCATGTGGGAGCGCTTGGAGGGCTGACCCAGGGACAGCCCGGAGGACACTGATGGAGACAAACAGAACGGCAGCAGATTAAACACTTAAGTTGGGAAAGAGTTTGACAAATATGTTTTCAAATTAGAACAATTGCTAAGGGTTGACACGGGATGCAATCATATTTTGAAATTTGATTTGAAGAGGGATATGTAGAACTAAAAGCCTCTTCACTAGGATTGACAGCATGCAATTTCTCACTCACGTTAAAGCTATTCCTTTACTTCTCTGATCACAAATACAATGTAAAACATATTTTCTAGGCTTTGTTTGCTAAAGAAAGCTATCACATCGAACAGAAAGATGTTGATGTCTGTTCTTATTTGAGTTTTCCCATAGCACATCACCATGTCAGGCTGGAGCTAGAACAGAGAGTAAAACAATCTAAATGTAACACATTTATTATTTAAGATAGACACACTGGACATAAATGTCAGCTACTGGATCATTGAATTCTGGTACAGCTTTAAACTTCACTGTAAATACAGTCAGCCATGTGAAAGATATTACACCGTAAACAACCTGGTTTGAAATTAACAAATGAAGCGAATCAACAAGCCCAAACATATGCTTGTCAAATCTGGGAAACCAACCTTAAGACTGCCTCTAACTGCATTTATTACGACACTGTTGCCAAGTTACAGTTCATAAAGACTCCTCTTAAAGCCTTTGATTTAGGAAATGCTCTTCTCTACTTAGTGTATTTAAATGTAGTCAGACATGGCTCTGTTCATGTCCTCTGCTAATTGCATAATTATTCGTGTATTCATCTTTGTATGCAGCTTGATGTCCACAGTCTCTAATATGTGCTACAGTATGTAGAGACAGTGTCTTTGTTCTCTCTGTCATGTATGATCATTATTTTTGGCACATCAACATATATACCTTTTCTCTGATGTCAATCCTGACACAATTGTGAATTTACTTTTTTAAGTTATAACACATTTGTATTTTTGTCTATTTATTTTAACATTACACGTTTTGTTCAAAGACTCATTGGAAGTAAAACAATTATATAAGCCAGCAAGATTCCACAAGTACAATAATGACTAGGCTGAAAATCTATTTGCAAGATGTGTTTTAAAGTGCTGCCATATATAAATGCATTGTATTTATAATGCGGCAGTCTTTTCTAAGCTATAACAATCAGCACTCACTGAAACCCACAGGAGGTTTTTCTCCATCGTGAAAAAAGAGAGACTTTGGGGAGTTTGCAATACTGATAACATATCCTCAAAGCAATTATCCACTGAGTAGAGACAGCTGGGCCAAACTAGCTGATTAAATACATTTACATAATTTGGGTTGCTTTTGAATAAATGTATTTTCCAATCCAATTCATTCTCCCAATTCCCTGAAAAACAACTGTGCCCGACAAGGAAGCATTAGCATGGGGAGCGGAGCATTGTTGTTTCAGTTAGAGGTCTATAGGAGGAACTATACGAGACATCGCTCATCTGCAGAACCTCCTGGGACTTCATATATGCTCGATACTGTAGTCATTTTTAACTGGAGTAAGTCTTGCTTTGTCACAGCAAGAGGCTCTATGCATATGTGCTCTCTTCCAAAAGCCTTACAAGGCTCAAGTGAAGTAGAGGCCTGGCTTATTGCAGCTGGGATTTAACATCACAACAACACAATGGGGGTCGTGGTCCGTGTCGTTCACACACTGTAAACTCCCACTCTCCTCTAGCTTTGCCACGGTGAAAGCATAACTTTCTCAGAACAAATAATGGGCAACAAAAAGTTAAGGCACACAGGAGGAGGCTTTATCTATATCATATTCCAATTACTTGTAGACTCTCCTTGCACTATTTCCATTTGATTTGTATTTACTTGCACTATTTTAACTATTTTATTTTAATTGTGTTGCACTGTTGGAGGAGCCTGTGACCCAATATTTTCCTTGGTATATCTACACTGTAGCTATGTACACATGACATTAAAAGCCTTGATTTTGAATCTTGAGGAGAAAGATTTCTCACAAAGGAAGATGTGTGTATCATCACAGGAGAGAAGATCATTTGAGTGCATATTACCTGCAGAAACCATGCTGTGAGCGTGAGAGTTGGCTGGCAGGCAGTCGCCCGTGGAGACGTGGTGCATGAGGATCGGCAAGGCGGAATCTCCAAGCGTGTTGAAAGAGTCGGCGCTGAATGCCTGGCACGCCATTCTTCTCTGACCTCCCTCGAAGGGTCCCGATGGTTCACTGAATTTTGACGGGGTTCCTTTAACTGGTTTATTTTCTTAGTTTTTTCTCTTATTTAATTGGACTTGTCTTCCATTGTTGCTTTCCCTGTCCTGTGTCTTCCTTATCTTCTTGAAATGTCCCTTATTGTGTCTTGCCTTTCGTCTTCTTCAGCCTTTTCTTGTTCTGCCTTGTTTGTTCTTGTCTTCCTCAACTTTTTCTCCCTATTTCAACCAAGCACAGTTCTCACTTCAGACACTTGGGAAAACGCAGGGTGGAAAACTGTGAACCGTTACCTTTTTCCTCTCAAAGGGAAATGGATGTTTCAGTCCGAACTCATCGAAGTCTACGCCGCATCTGTACCTTCAGCCAAAACTCTAGAAGGTGTATAGTGATGAGGTTACTAATGGATCTGTTCAAATGTGTTTCTCAACTATTAAACTGTCCCTCATTGAGGCGTCTGCAGTGCATGTCTCTGTCTCTTTTTTCTCCACAACAGATGCAGGTCAACCAGTGTCTGTCCCACCCTCAGCCTTTTGCCACCCTTGTTCTACTGCAGGTATTTATATACCACCACCCCTCTCTGGACATATGAGGCCCCCCTATTTCCTATCAAGCTGCTCACCCCCACCCCCCCCCACCTACCAATCCCATGTCGGTGCTGTTATTACTTGTGTTTGTCCTTACCTGCGTTCTCCTCATCCCGTTTCCAAATCCTGGATTAGGGTACAGAGCGGCTGAGAAACCCGATCCCCTCCTCTCCTCTCCCCCTCCTCTCCCCCTCCCTGACTCTCTCCATGATTGCAGGTTGTGCTGTAATAGGAAAAGTAAAGTGAACACTTACGAGTGCTCATTAAAATAACAAAGACTTAGTTGGGTTTAATGGGATAATACAGTACAAATAATGAATCGTTGCCATACATTGTCTGAAAACAAATGCTTTGTTTTTTGTGTGATCCCTTAAATGCGGCTCGAGGAAACACACTTGCTCCAACCACAGACTTTTAATTGCCTTTCAAGAGCTTTCAAGTGTGATCATGTAGCATTAACTCACAGTGAGAGGAAGAGAAGGTGAGTATTGTTTCACCGTGGTGTCCATATTGTTGTGACTGCGGAGCACTCACAGGTAAAGACAACAGGTCTCATCGGGGAGGATAAAGGTTAATCTGAAGAGCGTGGCCACCTTGTGCAATCTGTTTGTGTTTGTGTTTATCCCGGGCTCTGCTTCACTATTGTCGATGTAGGTGGGCAGCAGGTGGAAAATAGCTTGTGGGTGGCAGGCACGACTCGACTTGCTTAAGCAGGCAGGCAGTGTACATTTGGACTGGATGCACTCAGTCCCTTGGACAATATCTCTGCTCAAAACACATTTGAAACAAACATCTTCAGGTTGGTTGCTGTGTGTATTCAATCAGTAAACTGTAGAGTCAATAAATGTGCAAGGTAATTGTGTTTAAAAGCGGAAAGGGTCCCTTGCTATCCCATATTGAAATATTGTGGAAATAAATCCCTGTTAAATATGGCTAAATTGTAACTCATTTGTAGGCATCACAATCACTGTATACTGTCTCACATTTACCCATCTCCTCATCAATCTGCACCCTGATAGACAAGTCTTAAATCACTTGTTGGATTCAACTAAACACAATGGAGCTGAACACTGATAAAGAAAGCCTTTGTGACAAATTGCAAAACAAATCAAAACGGACTTGGACAAATCTCATTTCACCCAAGCAGTTTTGAAATAAACACACACTAAATCCCTAACATAAAGAACACAACTAAATGTAATGGTGTGTGACAAAAGACAAAACAATCTCTCACCAGCACCAGTATCAACTTTAAAATAATTCTCTCTTTTCTTTCTGTTCAGCCAACAACTCCCACTCAGGGTAAAGACCATCTTCCCAGCTGGTGAATACAGGCTTATCTTTGCACACAGAGAATAAGCCATCTCTGTTTTATATCAATCTGTACACTGGCAGCAACAGATCTGGTGAAAACATTCTTCAGAAATGTAGCCTTTACATGAGAAGATCAGACTTATAATACTTCAAACCTTTGCAGATCAGCCTTACATGTGTAACAGCCTGCTGTGATGACTGGAGGTTTACACAACAGCACATGTATCCACGACATAAATACTATCATAAAGGCTTTGAAAATCCGCCTATAGTTTAATGTGTACCTATAAATAATACTTGGTGCAGTCAGTGTTGTCTTCCTTTAATATCAGGGATATAGTACATTTTTTAACACATTTTGTCATCTCTTAACGTCAGTTGATTTAACTGTAATTTATTTACTACTACTTTACTACTTTATCTTGCTGCAGAAAAGCACACAACATGTTATTTTCATTGCTACAAATACTTTCTTTAGTTTATATTTTTAATTGATAATATTCTTAACTGTTTCAGAGAGGCGTCTGCTAGAATTCAGAACGAAAACATACACTATCTGAAAGAAAGAAGACAAATGCTATGAAAAAAATATATTATTTTGCCACCACATTGAATTTTCAAAGATCTCTGATCCGATTTGAGCGGACTAAATGGGCTTTCAGAAGAGATAATATAGATTATCAAAGGGTAAGGGAGTGGTAAATGCAAACCTTTCCCATGGAAGATAAGTAGACACACACACACACACACACACACACACACACACACACACACACACACACACACACACACACACACACACACACACACACACAAATGCACATACATTATGCACATAAAGAGCCTAAACTTAATTAGAGAAGAGACCATGAGTCAAAGGGGTTCTTTTAAGCACCTGTCCCTGATTCCCCCCCTCCTCTCGCCCCTTCACACACTCACAGACACTCACAGACACTCACACACACACACACACACACACACACACACACACACACACACACACACACACACACACACACACACACACACACACACACACACACACACACACACACACCATATAATGTTTCAATGATGTCAAATGAACTACTCTGATATCTTAGAAGATAACAACATGTTGTACAGAGTAAAAAAAACAGATATATTCCCTTCCCCACTACAAAAAAACACATACAAACACACAAACCAGACACACACACACACACACACACACACACACACACACGCACACGCACACACACACAAACGCACACGCACACACACTGATCCATCCTCAGACCCAGTGGGAACAGAGTGAGGTGACACATTCTCACAGGTATCACATGCTTACATACAGTGTACCAGGTGTGTCTGTCTGCATGTGTGAAAACAAGCTGGCACATCTCAGGGAGTTTAACCTGTGATTTCTTATTTGCCAATATGTGTGTATGTGTGTGTGTGTTTGGTTCTGCAATTGAAGACGATGCCATGACAGTTTACACATAGAACTGCAACAAACAAAGCACCAAAGCACATTACAATTAATTGCCTACTAATTAGCAGTTTAGCAGCTTTTATACTGTAGGAATAACACAGATAATTTGTGTGTGTGTTTGTGTGTGTTTCTATAGATTGCTGTACAGCAACATCAATGCTGTTAGCATCATTAAATAATAGCATTACTTACCCTCATATTTCTTTGATTTACAGAGAACAAAAATGTTGGCAGGGCATTATGGAGTGGATTGGACCAAAACTATTCCCACCCCGAGTAAATATGACAGGTTAAAGCAGCTAAAGTAGTGTGAAGCAACACATGTTTTCCAGATTTCAAAGACCTCTCTCAGCCATCATATTGCAGTCTGCAGCGTTGTGCTGGTACCTATTTTCTTTCCTTTCCTACTTGATAAATCATTTTCATGGCTGAGTGCGGGTGTATTTTCTTTTAATAATAAACCAGATCTTTGCTGATTGACCCTGCACCACTTCATCAAAGTACCCGTCTTTGACTAAAATGATAAGCACTACAGTTTGTCTCCCAACCCGAACAAACATTAACACTAGATTTTGTCAGAATATTTCCCCTAACAAACCACGAGAGAGGGGAAGTAGGAGTGAAACTGAGAACCAAAGATGGCTTTTGTTTTGTTTTTGAATTTCTGCATTCATTCATTATGCAGGGATGAACTCTGATTGAGGTTTGTTGGATGCTTGAATACATCATGGCAGAGGTCAGCACTCCTGATGAATATCAATCATACCGTATGCACCGCTCCGACCACCATCTGCCCCGAGCAGCGCCTGACTCATGACCACGGCACAAACACCGGCCGCACGCATCCGAGGGGGCTAATTTCATCAACATATTCAACAAACTCTGTTCAAACAGCAAAGGTTAAATGTCCAAAAGAGAAAACCAGATTCTGCAGGTTCTGAATGTGCTCCCCTCGGCTCTCTCGCAGATGTATATCTCTCTCCATTAAGTAAATGTTACATCAATTATTTGCTGGTTATATGACATTATCCCCACGTTAGTTTAAAGCTTTTGGCTTCGTAAATACTGTAGGTCCCTTTAGCTTCAGTGTTTGCAGTAACCTTCTAATATTGTCTTTCTCAAGAAATATGTTTCATTGCTTTTCTGTATTTATTCATAAAATAGCAGGCAATAGAAAATAATAGAAATAGCAATAGAAAATAGAAATAGAAAAAAGCAATAGAAAATAAGTGGAAATTGTTACGTAGAAAAGATATTGCAAAGCAAAGACATTGTAATTTCTCTCTAGGGTTCCTTTCGACAAATTCAATAATGATTGAAGGGCTTTCAGTCACATTAGGTCTTAATTAACTTCACACTTTGTAGCCCTATTAAGACTAATAACAGACATTTTTTATTGGCAACACCTTTTATTCACTAAGTGCAACAAGTCTTAAATCTTCACCACTCGTCAGACACTTTTTGTCCTACAAAAGTTCCATACAAGGTTAAGATACAAGATAAGTACAGTTTTCAAATGTCCTTGCAAGAACAACCCTACAAAAATGCATTACCTATAACATCTTCAATAATAATAGTATTATGGTAATTACAGTATGACTGCAGTGAAAACAGTAAAACAATGATGAACCTACTTTGTAGTTCCAGACAGGGTCTCAGTTTCCTTCATTTCTCTTTGACCCAACAGCCACATGTCAGCCGCTGCGCCTCAGCTGTGTGCACAAACTGTGGTTTGATTCTGAAAACACACTCACAGTATTGGACTTGCTATATATATTTATTGCACAGCATGCTGAATGTTTAAAGAGACTTTTATTGTACAATCCATATACAATAGTGGCACCAGGCGAGTTTCGCCCTCTGTCTTTACATAGTCACACTGCTGCTGGCGTATTTCTCCTCTTGCTCACGCTCTGAAGGACACATTAACTGGAGAACAAGATGTCACTTAAGGATAAATAAATCCAACAGATATATGACTTTGTTGAAAAGTACTGACGGGAAAAGGTGACAGTGAAAAATGTGTGATAGAACAGATACAATAAAAATAAAACAAATAAAGGACACTGAAAGAGCTGGCTGAATGGGCTTTAAATTCAAAACATGTGACAGTTAAATAAACATAGGGGAACAAAGAATAGGGGATGAGGGACAGA